GCACATTGTAGATTTCCCTTCTTCTTATCAATCCAATTGTTAATGTCCAGTATACGTCTGGTTAGTAGATTCGTGGATTTCAAGTTAAAGTGCAGTGACTTTTGGCTGAGGGTCCCATCCGAATTTGTCACGGAATCGAAGGTAAAAAAGGAAAACAACAAAATCAGAGCAAGGCACCTCCGCTTTAACCCCCTTTAACCCCGTAGAAGCAATTTTATGCCCCCTTGCCCCCCCTTGACAGCCAACATTCGAAAAGAGAAAGGAGCCTGGATTTGGGCTCCTGCGCATGTGTGGAAAACCCTCACCCAAAACGAAAAAAGGAAACAGAAGAAAAGGGCTGATTTTTGCCTGCACAGGGTGCCCCGGCAGGTGACCCCCGGGCGACTTGCCAGGGTTAAGCCTGAAAAAAAAAAATGAATTTGCAACAAGGTGTTCAAGAGTACTGAAAGTTCCGAGACACTGTTCTTGTCCGCTGTGTATTTTTTCTTTGTCTTCTTTATTGTTTTGCCTTTTCTTCCTGGCTTTTTTTTTTTTTTTGCTTTCGTTTTGCTTTTTTTTTTGCTTTCGTTTTGCTTTTTTTTTTGCTTGTTTTTTAGCCTTTTTGTGTTTTGTTTTTTCAACTTTTTTGCTTTTTGTTTTTTGCTTTTTGTCTTTTGCTTTTTGTCTTTTGCTTTTTGTTTTTTGCTTTTTGTTTTTGCTTTTTTTGCTTTTTCCTTTTTGTTTTTTTTTCCGGCTTTTAAAAAAAAAATGACTTTTTTTGTGGTTTTTTTTTGGGGGGGGGCTGCTGATTAGGCAAGACTTTGAGTGTTGTGGAAGAAGATAGCAAAGCAATTCTGAAGGAGAGGGTTGATGCGGATAACGAAAATGCCCTGGAGGAAGATGAAGCAGAAGAAGACGAAGATGACGGCGATGAAGAGCAGGGAAATGGATTGATTGCAGTTGATCCTATTAAGCTGTGCACGGCATTAGATCTTCAAGAGTTGGAAGAGCAGCTGGATTATGCTGGAGAGAGCTTGCACAGTCTTGTGCAGGGGTTGAGTGCCCAAGGAGAGGAAGCAGAAGATAAGAACAGGGTGGTTTTGGGAATAGACCCTGATGTGGGCGGCGCCATCGCAGTTTTGAGAACAGAAGGCCAAGTAATCAATGTGGAGGTATGGAAAATCGACGTGTCATGTGTGTGTGTGTGTGTGTGTGTGTGTGTGTGTGTGTGTGTGTGTGTGTGTGTGTGTGTGTGTG